ATACTTTACACTTATGAATTATCCTGAAGGACCAGGCGGGAACACTTGGTGTAGGATTTTGCTTGAAATCACGTGCCTGCTTGGCCTTTCCCCTTCCCCGTCCTGCTTCCTTCTGTCTTTCATTAGCTTCTCCAGGGAAACTTTCTTAATAAATAACTCATTGCACATGAAGTCTTATCTCAAGTTCTGCTACTGGTAAAACTGAGTTATGCCACTATTTGTCTCTTCTTCTTAATCAGGATTCAAGATCCTAGAGGGCTGAGATGGTTTCTTACAAATTCTTGAGTTTTCAATCATTATGTGCAGTACAAGGTACGGATGTCACAGACCACCATCTGAGTCTCAACAAAATTCTTGAATCACTGCAACAAACTTCAAACGATTATATGTCTCTATATAATTTACAGGAAATGAAATATTTGCTTACTAAAATTGAGATGTGATTTGCCTTTTTTTTCCCAAAATGATGGGAAGCTATTCGTTTTTGAAATCTTCATTTTATTTTGACATCTTCCAGCATGATTCAGATACTACTCATTACAAAGGGTCCATCACTTTCTCATCAAGGTGAGGAATGACACAAAAGAAATGCCTCGTGGCAATAAAAATTTATTTTTAAAGTAAAGTTTGATTTTCAAAGATCTCACAGCATACAAATGAATTTCCCTTTCCACTTGGCTATCATAATATTCACAGAAAATTACAATGAGATGAATCATTCACATCAGTCAGAAATTCATGATTTTAAGGTCTCATGCAATGCCTCTGCTAAGATAATGTGTAAGGAAAGAGCATAATTGAAGTAGCAGACAAGGCTCCCCCTCTGATAAAGGTGACAAACCCTCCCATCAAAAATGTGGGACCCCTCATTACCCATTCTCCGACCAAACCTGTTTAAAATATATATTCTTAACTAACTTTGGTTATATGACATATGTGTGTGATGGAAGAGAAGCTGACCTGAAAAATACCAGGTTTGGAAAGTAACAAGAACAGCAAATGGGGCAATGAATGGAAATGCACTGGAAGGAAGATGCACTGCAGAGTGTGAGCATAGCCAAATCGAGGCCCCGTGGCAGGTGGGCACATCCTGAGAAATGGGCATTGAGTGAATATTCACTGGCATTTCCATGACATTGTTCTGGCTTCTCACCTTGTGTGCAGGCCATAGATTTGTACCTCCTCTGCCTACCTGAGGTTGGTCCTCACTTGTGAGTTCTGGTCAGTGAATTGGGAGCAGAGTGCTGTGTGCCCCTTTTGGGCTGCAGCATTTAGTGGCCTTTGGGAAATCCCCTGGAGCTCTTTCCTTCTGCTATGGCAGCTGAAAATGTGGGAGACTGTGGCAACATTGCTAACCTGGAAACCAGGGCAGGGACCATGCTGGGCACAGCACCACATTTAGCTCAAGTGAGTAGACAGTGGGAATAAGAAAAAAATATGTTAAGATGTGGGTCAAAGGTAGCAAGTTTCAGTTAGAAGGGAGGAATAAGCTTTAGTGGTCTATTGCACAGTATGGTGACCATACTTTATAGTAGTTTATTATCTATTTTTAAATTGCTAAAATAGATTTAAAATATTCTCATGAGAAAGAAAATTGAAAGTAGGTGAGGTGATAGGTATAATTAGCTTGATTTAATCTTTCAACAGTGTAGACATATTTCCAAACATAACATTGTACTGCATAAATATACACAATTAATCTTTGCCAATTGAAAACTTACATTTTTAAAAAAGAAACAATATTTGTAATGTTAAGCTACTGAGATAAGATTGTTTTCACAGAATAACAGCCCATCTTGCCTAACCTGGAAGGTAATGGAGATTGTTTTCACAGAATATCAGCCCATCTTGCCTAACCTGGAAGGTAATGTTTACCTTCCCCTTAATTTCCTACCATTCTTCTGTAACTTCATCCCCTTCTGCAGTTCTTCTAGTTAGTCCCCCAGGCTCCCATGAGCTCTGTTTCTCACTCTGCCAAACAAAGCCTATCGAGAAATTGATGTATACTACAGCATAATGAAGTTTAATTTACTGTATCTTTCTGTAGTGCTTTTGTAAGTAAGGACACAATTTAAGGCAAATAAATACATGATGGATAATAGAGACTTGAGACAGACAAACACACTGCAGGGGAGAGAAGGTCTGGCATTGTGAAATTATCTGCACACGTCTTCCATCACTGGTCTGCTGTAACACCATCAGAGCATTAGGATTCAAACATGGGCTCTGGCATGAGACAGAACTGGGTAAAGACACTCTTGCTATCGTGAGTTTTGTGACATTCGCAAAGTCATATTACAACTAAGCCTTAGTTCCACATCAATGAAATGGGCAAATGCATGTGAACTTGTGGCTGTTATGAGGATTTGGCAGAAATAATGTATACACTCTTTGCTGAGTGTCTAATAGTTACAAATAAATCTTTTCATATTACTCTCCCTATCACAAGCTCTTTCACTCCGTCGTAAAGGGTGTTATCACTGATATTTTTATTGAGGATCACTTTGGAAGCTCCCCTTACTTTCCATGGTTCATTGCCGTGTGTACTGAGCACTCTTAGATCTTTAATTTCTCAGAACTATTTCTCTCCTGTCTAAATCAGGAAAAGCCATCTCATTTTGAAAAATACATAGTCTATATGTCTTATAGACACATTTTTATGCTTTTTGTTTCCTCCATAGGTGTTTTCCATGCAAATTGTGAAACCATGTTAATGAATTATTCTAAAAGAGAGTGACTACATTAAATAAACACATTTTAAACACATCGCTTTTAAATGGCAAAAACTGCAATTACTTTTGCACCAACCTATTCTCTCTCTCTCTCTCTCCCCCCCCATATATATATAGATAGATATAGTAGAATCAGGTTTGACTTCCAAACTGAGTCCAAACTATCTTTTGAATTAAAATTTTAACCATGATAGGATATGGTGGAGGCTTTCGATATTTTGAAAATAGGATTTTGAGTCAGAAAAATCCAGGTTGACTTTTCCTTACTGGCCATGTGACCTTGGATAGTTCGGTTTTACGAACGTGAGTTTAGTTTCTTTACATGCTAAAAATGGGAGTCATATCTGTCTTCTGACTGGTATAGGTTCTTCCTAGGTACCAAATGATATAACTCGTGTGGAGTACCATACAAATGAGCAACTATTATCATGCTCATTATCTCGAGGGAGGTCCACATCCTCCTGCAAGAAGAAAGCGAGTAGACTGACTGAGTGGCATTAAGAGTCATGAGAATTTTAAGGCTGATAGTTCCATTTTGGGTGGTTGGCGAGAACTTGAGTTAATGACTCTTAAATGTATTAATTTAATCACTCCCTTTTAAAATAATTAATTGACACAGTTTCACTATTTGCGTGGAAAGCATTTTCCCAGTGGTTTAGACTTTTGATCAGCCCTTACCTAGTGAGTTGAGAGCCGATAGGATGCTGGAAAGGTGTACCAAAAACATGAAGTGGAGCTACTGTGCATTTCTGAAAATTTTTTTTTAATTAAAATATCTATGAAGTTTATTTTAAAAAGCAACAAATGAGCATATTGTCCTCATTACTGAGGATTACCACATTCTAAAACGACTTTCCTTCTAGAAGAAAGGCTTTTTATTTCCCCCATCCCCTCTTTCTTTCCCCACACCCACTGTGAGTGTGTTTGTCTAGAATGTTGGCCAAACCACAGTTTAAATCCATAAGAGACTGTTCTTTTATTATGACTTAATTCAATACAGGCTTAGCTAATCTAAAACTTTTTTGTCTTTCAAAGTAATCCTAATACATTTGCACTGGAGCCAAAACCTACTGTGTTTTCAGCAGAATGCAAACGGGTGGCACTGATAAATTCTCTTTAAATTGAAAGAGGGCCTATGATGGGAACACAAACCCCTTAGTTATGGTGACACTGACGATGGCCGGGTAAAGCTTGTCTTCAGTGACTAATAAGAAAAGCAGAGGGTTTCTCAGTCTTGGCTTCTTGCTTAGGACTGGATGGGGACCGAAGATCGTCACTCCAACAATGTATGACTGATGAGGAAAAATTTGGAAACCTCAGCTTAGTGCCCATCCTCCTGAGAGAAAGCAAAATATAGGCCATGTGTCCCCCACATTCCCCATGCTTGGAAAACAAGAGCTTACAGAAATGCCAAACGGATTCTTAGCATATTTTACAGCAGTTTTGAATAACGTTTTCCTTTCTCATTCCTAATCAATGTAAGCTTTCTTTAGATATGTATTTTCCCTTCTGCGTAAAATGTTTCTGGAAGGACTTATGGATGAGAATTCACAGGTAAGTTCTCTTTTGTTTCTTCTGATTTTCCTTTCATTCCCATGCATTTTGATAGTCTTTCAAACTCCCAATTTGAATGGAAACAGAGTTTGGCAAGTTGGGATTTTTCTATTGCCCACAAGAATCCCCAGATGAGTGTTTGCTCTGTCAGACCCTGTAGATCACAGCAACCTCAAACATAAAAATGCACTCTTTCCAAAGCTAAGGTCCTTCAAGGTTCGTTATGGTGGGTAAACTTTAGTGGTCCAAATGCTCGTGATACACATCGTAGAAGAGTTTGCACACTTGAAATCATACTCCACCTCGCAACCGCAAACAGAAAATGCCAAAGGAATCTAAGACACAGAATGATCAAAATAACTTCCATATTATTCAGTCCAGGAAAATGGCATCTTTGGTTAAAAAACATAAATTGCTGATCAGCTTAATCGTCTAAGATTGACGGCAAGTACAGCTGCCATATTAAGTCAGAAAAATAAACTTTGACTTGAACACAAATGTGGTTTTGCCGGCTCGTGGGGAGGGTAAGCCACAACTTTCAATGTCTCTGGCTAGACACAACCACACTCCTTTCCAGCTATCTTACTCTGAATTCCTAATTCTTAAAGTTTAGTTTTTCTTTATATGACTCAAGAAACACATTTTGGAAAATACTATCACAAAAAGGAGGCAGGAATGTTTACTGAGATTTTTATTTGTGTTTATTTTCCCCAGTGTTTGTCCTTTTCCTGCTCCTGACAAACCACTTTGAAATTTCTTAAACCAGAGCTTCCTCAAGGACAAAAGCAGAGAGTTCTTGAAGACATGATGCTTTCTATCTTTTGTAAAAAGCCTGAGCTTGAAACTGAGTAAGGAGATCATGAGGTGGAAGTGATACCATCTGAAGAGGAAGCCCCTTCAGATCCAGAGGGAATGAACTTGTGTGGCAGCTAGGACTACCAGGGCAGTGCCGGGCACGTAACAAGACCTGAAGACATAGAGGCTCCATTTGCCTAGGGAGGCTGAGCCCAGCCTTGCAAATAGCTCTTGGACCCCAGATTTGACATGGGAGACACAGAGAGCCTCTTAGGAGACCACACAAGGAGCACAGAGCAAAGACCACAGCTTCCTGGTTAGGATCCCTGAACTGCTCCAGTCCTGGAGGGGGAGGTGGGGACACCTGGGGTGGTCCTGGGGGATGAGGTGGGGACACCCTGGGATAGTTCTCAGTGGGTGACATGGGGACACCCTGGGATAGTTCTCAGTGGGTGACATGGGGACACCCTGGGATAGTCCTGGAGGGGGAGGTGGGGACACTGTGGGGTGGTCCTGGGAGGGTGAGGTGGGGACACCTGGGGTGGTCCTGGGGGATGAGGTGGGGATACCTGGGATGGCTCAGACTGGATAAATGCACTGCCTGCTCCCCCTCAGAGTCCTGTGTAATTTGGCTTTAGGAGAATAAAGGTTTGGACATTTCCTAAGCATCCTATTATTTAATAGAAAAGCATGACAGTTATTAAATAAATTAAAAACAATACAAAACATTTGGAAAAGTCTTGAAAGTTAATAAATGATTAAAATCACCCATAGCTTCACTGCTTAGAGATAGTGATTGTTAATGTTAAGGTGTATTTCTTCCTAGCTTATTTTTCTATGTATAAATATATGAATATATATGCATATTTCTTAATAAGTGAGATTTTACTTGGTATATAATTCTGAATCCTCTTCTCACATAATATTTAACAGGAACTTTTAAATTCATTATAGAAAGGAGGTACCATTAATGGATAAATGCTATTCCATCATATGGCTTTAATGTACTTTCTGTCAGTTTCTTTGGCTGATATTGCAGCTATGTGGGATGGTCCCGAATAAGCTGTGTCCATCCTGCAGTGGGACGGGCCAGACACAGTCGAGTTGCACCAGGGACTAAGCACATCACTCGATGTCAAGGCCATTGAGTGAGGAGGAAGGAGCTGCTGGAGTTTCCTCTCCTGGCTGTTCCTCTTGGCCTTCCACAGACTAATATTTGAGCGATAGCAGTGGGATAGAGCCCAGGTAGCAGTGCTTCCTCCTGCGGCTCTGTGAGACTCAGATAATAGAGTATAATACAAATCAGCTGGATTATTATTCTCCAGCTCCCTTCCATCACCCCTGAGGGTTTGTGCACAAATGTGGTTATGCACAGTGGAAATGGCAGCAGTGGGCTCAGCACCGCACTATGGATGAGGCCCCCGCATCTAGCAACTGCTCCCTGCTGGGGCACAGCTCCTGCTCAAGGGACAATGATGCCTGGAGGAGCCTCAGCGCTCAAGGGAGTCATGCTGGGACAACCCTCATTCCTGGAAATACCTTGAGGAAGGACCAAGAGAAGAGGAGCAAATGTGGATATGCACCAATAATTGATTGGTGTGTTCACAAGCCAATGGCAGATGCCCCTCGGGGATGGCGCCAGTAGCAGCCCCTCTCAGGCACTGGATTCTGCACTAGTGAATGAGGCGAGATAGAACTCTGAAATAAACAGCTTTGCATAGACACTTGATTCTTGCATGGAGGTTCTTAGGAAGAAGAGTATTAGGTCCTAAGGTCATGAACACATTTAAATATCTTGTGTCATCTGACTGATCTGCAGAAAGAAACCAACTCCCCTCTTTTCAGAATGTTGAGAGATTTAAATTTCACTACATACTTGCTGGCATGGGCAGCTGGATGGGAGGGACAGAAATGAAAAGGAGCTTCCAAGGATAAAGCTGTCAGATAGGTGAATGAGAAGAACGCACTTGAGCTGAAGTTCTGCGGAGAGGTTCATGGCGTAGCAACGGCTCGCTGGGTGGCACTGGCCTATTTTGGGGATGGACACCTTGGCTGCACAGGGCACTTGAGAGAGGAGGAGGTAAACACCCTACCTGTCATGGAAAACATCACTTGTACTGGAATGCCATTTTTAAATTATAAGGTCAGACACTTACTGCAGTTGAAATACTTTGTACATGTAACGTAAAATTTTGCAAAGCTGAGCATCAAATTAGGGCAGATCTGACTTTGGTAAATACGATTGCTTCCCAGGGCTGCCGTAATAGTGTGTCACAACCAGGGTGGCTTAAAACAAGAATGTATCCTTACAGTTTTGGAGGCTGGAAGTCTGAAACCAAAGTACCAGCAGGGCTGTGCTGCTGCCATGGCTCCGGGGAACACTTCTCGCCTCTCGCTCAGCTGCTGGTGGCGCCCAGCAATCCTCCCCGCCACTGTCTCTGTCATCACGTGGCTGTCTTCTCTCTGTGTCGGTGTGGTGTGTCTTTCTCCTTTAATAAGGCCCACCCGGCTGGGCGCGGTGGCTCACGCCTGTAATCCCAGCACTTTGGGAGGCCGAGGCCGGTGGATCACGAGGTCAAGAGATCGAGACCATCCTGGTCAACATGGTGAAACCCCGTCTCTACTAAAAATACAAAAAATTAGCTGGGCACGGTGGCGCATGCCTGTAATCCCAGCTACTCGGGAGGCTGAGGCAGGAGCATTGCTTGAACCCAGGAGGTGGAGGTTGCGGTGAGCCGAGATTGCGCCATTGCACTCCAGCCTGGGAAACAAGAGTGAAACTCTGTCTCAAAAAATAAATAAATCAAAAATAAGGCCCACCCTACTCCAGCATGACTTCCTGTTACCTTGATTTCACTGCAGTGACCTTATTCCCAAATAAGATCACATTCACAGGTACCCGAGGTTAGGTATCAGGAGGTGAGGTATCAGGAAGGCTGATATTTTCATTTCTTTCACTTATAGCTTATTTTCACGTGCTCGTTTTAGTGTGAAGTCTTTGTAGGGAGGGTATCCTTTTAAAATGTTATGCTTGCAGTTTTTAGGGGCACACATTGCATGTGCACGAGAAAGCTCATCGTGGGAAGCTCCACAGTCAATGATTTGGTGGGCCTTCTTTGTCACAAATAGCATTTGTGTGCATTCTATTCCCAGCTCTCTCTGCAGAGAGTCTTGTAAGGGATAAAGAACATCTCTGTGTGTCTTGCTCTGTGCCACACTCAGCAGAATGCTTCATGCACCTGGGCTCTTTTTATAAATTTTTAACACAATGATGATACAAACTAGTTCTAACAAGGCATGTAATTATCTCTTCCTCATCTTCACCCCATTTATTCAGCACTGTGAGTTGCAGGCATGTTTCTTTTGATTTAAACTTTCTTTGCCTTTCTGCATTTTACCATGTTGGTTCTTACTCTTTTCTCCAAATCTGGCAACGTGTCACACCCAAATTTATATTGTGCAATAGACACTTTATCTCATTTACATAACTGCCTGCTATCTGTACCGGCAATTCTGTCGTGAGCTCTGTTTGAGTAAGGGGCTGGGAGATGAGTTCGAATTGGACCTTCAGCCCCAAATCCCAGGGGGGCATCTGTAGTGACCTGCAGCTGGGTCGCAGAACACAGCCTGTAGTTGCTTTCAGCTCGTAATGACCGAGCTGCCTTACAGTTCTGTTCCTTCCTTTGTCTGTTTGGACAGAGTGTCTTGTGCAGAATGGAGCATGACAAATTGTTTTTTCTACTACAAATGCGAGGAGATGATCCTGCATGCCACGCTCTTCCTTCTTCCAATAAGCGGGATTTTTCAGTGTTTATTGCAGTGTTTTTCACTGAATTCTGGTAGAGTGCCTTTTGACTTTTCACTGCCACTTCGGCAGGGATCTGCATTTGGCTTGGGGAGTGGTGTTCTCCTACCTCTGTCTTCCACTTCCTCCCTCCTCTCTCCTCCCCACGCGATTTCACTTGCAAATGTTCACCGATATGCTAACTGCAGTGGAGCTCTGAAAAAGCGTGAGGCTGGTGTACTGCGCTGATCCTGAGACAATCTAACAGCTTGCTTATGCATCTATTTGGCTTGGATGGAAAATTAGAACAGCTTTAATCTGCTACCAGCATCAAGCAGGGAAGCACTCCCCGGAGTGCGGAGTTGGGAGCATCACAGCAGGCTCTGATGAAGGCGGCTGCTGCAGTGTCAATCCAGGCAGCAGAGCTCCAGTAGCAAGGAGGGCGCTAGCTTGTTTTAAAGAAAGCGTATTATATTTCAGGGGGGAATAATCATTATGTTGAACGGTCCCAGAGCTGAGTTTGGCGGCATCATGGAAAAATACAAACAGGGATTTTTTTTTTTTTTTTTTTTTTCTGGGTGCCCACATCAGTGTGGATAATGGAACTGAGGTCTTGAAAAATGGACATGTAGTGCAGTTCGGTCAGATGAGCATTTTAGATTTTAGTAATTAGTAGTTAGGGCTTGATGAAGTGTAGGAGGTAGGAGGGAATCGAGTCTATTTTAGGAGATTAGAGTGATAAGGACTTTGCATGTTTTTATCAGTTCATGTAGAATTTGACATATGGTAAACAGGAATAGATAGTATTTAAAAACCCCATAAATACACAGGATTGAAAAGAAAAAACCAAGTAGAGAAGGAATGGCTGCCAGCACCACTCCCCTTGGCTTCAATAGCAGGGCACCATGAAAGGGCTACATATCATCGTGTGAACCAGATCCAGCGATACAGAGAGTCAGCAACGCGAGGCTCCTGGATGGCACGTTAATTAATTCCAGCCAGTGGTGCCCAAGTTCTCCAGGCTCCATTTGGCATCGCCTACTGGTCTGTATATTTGGAATCATGAACTCCGATAATACTCCCCACTCTCAGGGAAGCCAGATTTTAGGTTGACTTGATTTGTCACATTCCTTTGTTTTATAGCTTTCTGTCAAAACCCCCAAAATTAATGCAATGCTATGTTGACTGTTTTGTTTCTTAATGCAGTGAAACTGTCTTGAAATTACAGGTGGATAGAGCTGTTTTGAAATCTGCACTGACACCATAATCAAATCATAATAAAACTGTAATGGACTCTCATAGCTTTGTGTGGACCTATCTCTTGTCAAGGTATGGTATTGAAAGTCTTTTATGTGATTTTTAATGTGATTTTTCTCTGAAATATTTTTTAAAGTGTCAAGGCGCACAGAGCCATCATCAACAAATGACATTCACTTCTGTTGCTTAAAAAAATTCTACTTAGATATTGGGTTAAGCTAACTCAGGCTTATTGTGAGGCTAAAAATGATATTTGATGAGAAAGTGCTTTGAAAAGTTAAAAGTATTAAGAAAATATTAAAC